CTGCCCCCCCCTCCGCTCCTCCTACCCCATCCTCTTCCATAACCTCCTCGGCTTAGTCCTCTTCTGCTGCTGCGTCTTGCTCCACATCAACGGATAGGGGGCGTAACAGTGATTAAACTGATAACAATAGTACAAAACACACCACTCACTCACTGGTGTCACAATAGCTTGGATTTAAAAACAAAATTTTTTTTTCACTGTTATAGATTGAATAGCAGTTAGTTATCTTCAAGCAGGTGTGTCAGCCCTACAGCGTGTACTCTGCCAGTAAGCTGCCACCTCCTCTACTCCTCCTACTCCATCCTCTTCCATAACCTCCTCGGCTGAGTCCTCTTCTGCTGCTGCATCTTGCTCCACATCAACGGATAGGGGACGTAACAGTGATTAAACTGATAACAATAGTACTAAATTCACTCACTACTGGTGTCACAATAGCTTGATTTAAAAACAAAAAACTTTTTTCACTGTTATAGATTGAATAGCAGTTAGTTATCTTCAAGCAGGTGTGTCAGCCCTACAGCGTGTACTCTGCCAGTACGCCGCCACCTCCTCTACTCCTCCTACTCCATCCTCTTCCATAACCTCCTCGGCTTAGTCCTCTTCTGCTGCTGCGTCTTGCTCCACATCAACGGATAGGGGGCGTAACAGTGATTAAACTGATAACAATAGTACTAAACACACCACTCCTATCTGGTGGCACATTAGATTGCACGCGCAGTGCCCCAAATTTGTTGTGATCTGTGAGCAAGGTAAACGGTTGTCCATACAAGTAGGTTGCAGCTTTTTGAGGGCCCACACCACCGCCATGCACTCCTTTTCAATGGCAGGAATATACTACAGTAAAGTTTACGGCTTAGATGTTTTCTCCCCGGGTTGCTAGCCACCATCTGCTCCGATTCTGGTTTCAATACTGCTCCCAATCCAAGCATAGAAGCTGCCTCATGAATGAAAGTGTTTAGTTGACTAGAGAAGAAAACAGGTGACAATGAGCCGTCTTGAGCTGTTGGAAGGCCTGTTCACACTCTGGGGCCCATACTACTATCTTGGGGAGGTTTTTACACGTTCCTATATGGCACTTACTGGGCTTTAGGGTCAGTCCGGACTCCCTAATCCGGTCTATTACTGCTCCTATGTGGGTCAGGTGTTCGGGCCAGGAGCTGCTAAAAATGTCTATACCATTCAAGTAGGTGTGTATCAGTGTGTATCAGGGATCCTTAGGACAGGTGTCAATCCATATCTGCCAAGTGACCCTATGTTGGGGTAACATTCCCTATTCTGATCTGTGTCAGTGTATCAGGGGCTCTGAGGACAGGTGTCAATCCATATCTGCCAAGTGACCCGATGTTGGGGTAACATTCCCTATTCTGCTCTGTGTCAGTGTGTATCAGGACCACTGATAGGAGACGCGGAAGGTATTAAACTGATAAAAATAGTACTAAACGCTCCACTCCTATCTGGTGTCACATTAGCTTGACAGCGCAGTGCCCCAAATTTGCAGTAAGAGGACCGACCAAGCTTCTTCTTCCATCTCCCTGTTACAGAAATCACTATCCATACAAATTGTACAGAATGTCCAGGATAGTTTTCATATGGACAACACACTTGTTGAACGAGGTATCTTGCTCGGGTCCCAGGTGTAATGGGTTCCTAAAATGGCTGCCATATACACGCCCACCTCGATACAGAGACGCCGAAGGTATTAAACTGATCAGAACAATACTAAACACACCACTAATAAGGTTTTCTCCTGTATGGCTCCTCAAATGATGCTTAAGATTAGAAGCGGCTGAAAAGCATTTCTCACACTCAGAACAAAAATATATTTTTTTAACATTCTCTCCACTTTGAACGAAATGACGTTTGGGAAGAGATTAACATAATTAAACACAGGCAGCAAAAATACAGTTTTTAGCCATACACTGTAACTTTAAAACTACACATCCCATCTTCATAATTACATATTTGGAATCAGCACACTTAAAACATAAACATAACCAAAACTCAGCCAAATCCATCCAGGGGTTAAAAAGTTAGCTGGAGGTCCCTTTATGACCGACCGCAAGCACATTTTCCTGCCCAAAACAGTTCCATAGATTTGGGCTAGATAATGGTCTACTAGGTTGAACGACCAAGTCCCATCAATGGGACTTAGTCTCTGCAGCTGAAATAAGGCTGAAAAAAACGGCTGAAAAAAAGACTAAGTCCCATCGCCGAATGGGACTTAGTCTCTGCAGCTGAAATAAGGCCGAAAAAAACGGCTGAAAAAAAGACTAAGTCCCATCGCCGAATGGGACTTAGTCTCTGCAGCTGAAATAAGGCTGAAAAAAACGGCTGAAGAAAAGACTAAGTCCCATCGCCGAATGGGACTTAGTCTCTGCAGCTGAAATAAGGCTGAAAAAAACGGCTGAAGAAAAGACTAAGTCCCATCGCCGAATGGGACTTAGTCTCTGCAGCTGAAATAAGGCTGAAAAAACGACTAAGTCCCATCGCCGAATGGGACTTAGTCTCTGCAGCTGAAATAATTTCCCATTTACTGAACCAAGTGGGAAATAGCAAGGCAGGCACAAAGGGTTTGCACCAGGTCTAGGGACACAGGGGACACCGTCTTAAAGGGGCCGTGTCCCCAACAAGTCTGGGGACACGGCCTTAAAGGGGCAGTGTCCCAATCTTCCTGATGTCCCAAAAAAGGTGCTTAAAGGGCCAGCACCAGTCACATAAAGAGTCCATAAGCCCCAATATGCCCACCGACAGTCTTAAAGGGCCATACACACCAAATAAAAGTGCATACATTTTCACAATCTCCAGGGGCCATAGTCATGCGGGAGGAGGCTGGCAAAGAGGCTTCTCCACAACCCAGGGAAACAGGGCAATTTGCCATTTAAAGGGCCCGTTACAAATAGCAGTTTGTAACAAGGTGTCAATCCATATCTGCCGAGTGACCCGATGTAGGGGGAACAGTCCCTATTCTGCTCTGTGTCAGTGTGTATCAGGGATCCTTAGGACAGGTGTCAATCCATATCTGCCAAGTGACCCTATGTAGGGGGACCAGTCTCTATTCTGCTCTGTGTCCGTGTGCATCAGGGGCTCTGAGGACAGGTGTCAATCCATATGTCAAGGTGTCAATATGTCATATGTCAGGTGTCAATCCATATTGATTGTGATTTAGGAATGTTAGGTGATTTCTGCCCTTTATGGATTAAAACCAGACTCTGTATCAACTGTGTAATTTTCCATGGGAGTTTTGCCATGGATCCCCCTCCGGCATGCCACAGTCCAGGTGTTAGTCCCCTTGAAACAACTTTTCCATCCCTATTGTGGCCAGAAAGAGTCCCTGTGTGTTTTAAAATTCGCCTCCCCATTGAAGTCAATGGCGTTTCGGGCGGTTCGCCGGTTCGCGAACATTTGCGGAAGTTCGCGTTCGCCGTTCGCGAACCGAAAATTTCGGGTTCGCGACATCACTACTGCAGGGGCATGATCTATACAATAAAACTGTTATATACTAAAAAAGGCAGAAACATTTGAAAAACATCCAGCCCTATATAACAAAAAAACAGAACCTTTAATTATACATCTAAAACAATTGTGGAATATATAAAACCATGTAAAAGCATCAGCTTGTGTTACTAAATATGAGAGTCACAACTATAGACCAGAAACTAAATAGACAGAAAATATTCTATATAAAATATATAATCAAAAATCTGGTCAAAGATGAGTGTCTTTAATCAGATTTGAAAAATGAGAAGGCAAGGGATTCACATTGACTAAGTGAAGATCAATAAAGATGTTACTTGAAATAGACTATCAGACAGTATATCAATCCTAAAATAGTATCAAGGGAGAATATAAATACAAATAGAACATGATTTGTTCTGTATTCTTGCTGTATCTCGTGATAATACAATGTGATCAGGTGGGCCTATCTCATAAGCAGTGAATTTTTTTTATCCTAAATTTAAGAATATATAAAAAATAGTATAATTAATATGTGTACTCCACACATCCCAAAATCCTAGTTCGGATGTTCATTCCTAAAAGGATAACAAAATGTATAAGACAAAACAGTAAAACAGGAGGGGTGTGGGGTTAATACAGTAGACGGGAGTCTAATCCATGGTATGTCAAAAAGTGTATTTCAGAATTCCATCGTCCCTGTTAACACTAAGACCACCACACACTAAATTAAAACTGCGTGTATTGGTTCAACATCACTATTGTATCGTCAAGATTATGAGTGCATTTGAACTCAATAGAAATACTGCTGATCAAGGAAAACATTGAGGTTGAATGATTAATATATCCTTGTATAAAAATATATAATTAGGGAAGACATACCAATCACAATGAGGGTGTAGTTCACATTGATACTCCCAAATCCATTGGTTGCTTTGCAGATGTAAGTTCCTGTATCCTCACTTTCCACATCTTTAATCTTCATCCCTTGCTGGTAAACTCGGAACCTCGTCCAGCCGGGGTGAATGGTTCGTCCATCCTTCATCCACATTGTAAGTGGTGGTGGATCACCTTCCACAGGACACAAAAGTTTGATGGTTCTTCCCAACCGGACGGTTTGCCTGTGAATGACTTTATCAGCAATCCGTGGGGGACCTTTGGGAAAAAAAGTCAAGTCACTTTAAATATTTTAAAAAATTTCACTTGTAAAAATACAAAACTAGCTATGGTCAACATGTTAACACGTTTCTTTTTTTCATACTATATACCAGTATAGTTCAATTTGGGACTAAAATTCCTAGCCAAATAGAGTTGTTCTAGCGACTTCTTATCTGCATGATGACATGACATTTATTCTACATAACAATCAAAAATGACATAATTGATGTTGGTAACTAAATCTCTTTTGGGTTATGACCCCGCTCTCTTTTCCCTTCACGACAGCCTAAAATTAAAATCTGGAGAACACACATCACACCGTATGAGCAAAGCACAATAAGTTTAGATAGTTAGAATACACCAGCTTTGCATTCTCTATAAACTACAAACTATAACCACACAATAGCTAACAATTATATGGTAAAGTCATTAGAAAACAATGTACTTGATTAGAAAACACACGTAGAACCCTTAATAACACATTGTGCTCACATCAAGTGTGAGCAGGAACATCTGCCATAAATAAGTAGACCATTTTTCTACAGCAGACATTTGAAGAAGAGTCATGTTTGAATCAATATTGATATAAATTCTAAAAGCAATAGTTCAAAAAGAGGAGCTCCTTCCAATTATGTGTTTACTTTTTAAAATCAATTATTAACCACCCAATAAACACCCATTCCTTCCATTATGAGTTTTGGTAAAAAAAAAGCAGAGTTACAGACCTGTTACTAAAATGGCTGCGTTATACCATTGAGACATTGGTCAACCCAACTATTTCATTTGATCTCTTCTGCCTCACACTATTTGGAGTATTTTAGTTATTAGATTTTAGAGTTTTTTAGCTTTCTGCCAACATCTTGCAGATAGGTGATTACACAAGAGTCACAAGGGGTATATCGTGTGATGCGTCCTCAGCACTTTGAAGGAATCTGATATATCAGATTTCAGCGTGTTTGCTGAAACCGTGCCCACGGCTGTTAACTATTTTTCACGTTGAGATACCCTCTGGCACGGGTCCTCATCAACGTTAAAAGTCTTATCTTGAATGAATTAAATGAAAGATCATATCAGTACCTAGGCAACAATTCTAAGGACAATGAACAGTTAAATAAATTATGAAGTATTACAAAACGTTATTAGTTCAGACAACTTGAATTGAATAATTTGTCAAAGTTAAATTGGGACTGCATTGGTTCTTTAAAGGGACACTATAGTCACCTGAACAACTTTAGCTTAATGAAGCAGTTTTGGTGTATAGAACATGCCCCTGCAGCCTCACTGCTCAATCCTCTGCCATTTAGGAGTTAAATCCCTTTGTTTATGAACCCTAGTCACACCTCCCTGTATGTGACTTGCACAGCCTTCCATAAACACTTCCTGTAAAGAGAGAGCCCTATTTAGGCTTTCTTTATTGCAAGTTCTGTTTAATTAAGATTTTCTTATCCCCTGCTATGTTAATAGCTTGCTAGACCCTGCAAGAGCCTCCTGTATGTGATTAAAGTTCAATTTAGAGATTGAGATACAATTATTTAAGTTAAATTACATCTGTATGAAAGTGAAACCAGTTTTTTTTTTCATGCAGGCTCTGTCAATCATAGCCAGGAGAGGTGTGGCTAGGGCTGCATATACAGAAACAAAGTGATTTAACTCCTAAATGACAGTGAATTGAGCAGTGAAATTGCAGGGGAATGATCTATACACTAAAACTGCTTTATTTAGCTAAAGTAATTTAGGTGACTATAGTGTTCCTTTAAATGGGCATTGTAGGCACCCAGATCACTTCAGCTCATTGAAGTAGTCTGGGTGCAGTGTCCTTTTTTTCGCACCTAGTGTTGCAATGTTAAACATTGCAGTTCCAGAGAAAGGGGGCCCTGAGGGTTGGGGAACACTTAGGGCACTATAGTGTCAGAAAACCGGGTTTGTTTTCCTGACTCTATAGTGATCCTTTAACAAAGAACCAAAAAAAATAATACAGAACCAACTCAGCTCCAGTCAAGTCTGGGATTTAATGTCCTACAAGCATCTTACACAATGCATAAAAATCAAACAAATACCTGTTGAAATTAATCATTGTTGATTTAGTAACTGAAATGTTCATGTATTGTTAGTTTATATCTCCATTCATTGTATGCATTGTGTTTATAAGGTGATCTTATGTTTTTTTGCACTTGTAACATATAGTGAGTTCTATACCAATGTTCCTAGAGTAAACATTTTGAACAATCTCTTTTGGACAAACTGGCCTAAAAAGGTTAGACTTCTGAGCAATGTAGTTACGACATTTATGTTGCTACAATATAAACCATATGGAGTTTGCTATTATACCATTTCTTTCTATTTTGTTACAGTACACATGCTGCATGGGATGTATATTACATCACCTCCCCTGCTCATAAGGGAACTCTGGTCAATAGGCCAACAGATGGTGAAAATGTAAATTATATGTACTTTTAATACCACAATATAAGAACATACAAAATGCTGAAAATTGAATACAATATACTTAAAGGAAAACTCCGGGCACCAATATAACTTAAATGGATTTGACAGGTGCTGGCCTCGTATTCTTGCTGATTTTTTCTACCTATTTAAATCTCTTTAGTTTTGCAAAAATAAATAAAAAGGTTTTGCATTTTTTTGTAGATTATTCCCCCTCCCGTGCCCATGCCTACCCTTTTTAGAAAATGTCCCGAATGGGAATAGAACTTTGCCAATGACAGATTAGTGTTAGCTGAGCGGCTTGATTCCAACCCATGGTCAATCACTGCCCTCCTCTTATCTGTATAGTGAATCAAGGCAGTGCTAAAGGGAACAATGGCAGATAGACTGTGGGGCGGAGTCTTGTCAGAAACTCAGCTCAGACTGATCTCTCATTGGCTGAATGGAGTACGTACTCAGAGTACACCTAATAAGGAAGTTGCTTTGTTAAAAAAAGGGAGCTGAGATGTGAAAAAAAAAAATACAGAATGAATCCAACCTATCAAACTAACTTATGTGTGTTGGTAAGTCTGTGCACACACACACTTTGTTTGTAAAAGTAACACTCCAGTGTTTTAGTTATATTTATTTATAACGCTGGAGTGTTGATGTTAACTAACCCATAACCCAGTCTCAAGAGGGTCTGCACACAAAAGCTCTGCTACGCCTTTTGGAAAATCATTCTTTCTTAATAAAAGTGTAGATTTCTCTTGAAATCAGTACTTTTATTTAAAAAAAGAGTAGCCATTCTGTTAACCCCTAAATCCGTAAATACATGGTGCATTGGTAAACCAGTAAATACATGCACACTGTGTTGGTTTATCACTCTGTACATGCAAAGTGCATTGGTAATTGCTCTGTACCTGCGCACAATATTGCTTAATCAGTCTCCATGTGATCATTGGCTAATCAGATTTGCATTCACAGGACATTGGATAATCATTCAGTGTGAGCAGGGCCCTCAATCCCTCTGTTCCTGTGCGTCCAACTTGTCTGGTTACACTTACGTGTCTGTTAGTCCACCCATTGTACAGCGCTACGGAGTTTGCTGGCGCTTTATAAATAATTATAATAAGAAGAATTAAGTTTGTGTATGCACAGCACTTTGTATAATTAGTTTGTGTGTATGCGCTGTACTAATCCATCTAAGCAAGTGTGCTTATATGCTAAAGGGTACACATGTTTAGGCTTCTCATTGTTAATAGAAAATCACTAAGCGACCCTCGCTAGAAACACAAGCAACTGGACAGTCATTGGATTTTTTTTTTGTTTGTTTAACACAAACTTTAAAAAAAGCAACAAAAAAAAAGCACAGCCATGGATCCTCCACCTGTCTTCAAGGACAGCTGGGTAATGCTCAATGTATATTGTAGCACTGTGCATTGTAAAAGACCTTCTATGGAAACCCGAGTATGGATTACTGGCCTATACCAGCATCAAATGTAACATACAATGCCAAAGTACTTACAAACAATTGCCCTATAATGTATGCTGGAGATCATTTTTTATTTCCCCTAGAAATGACTTGGATTGGATTTTCTTTTTGTTTCATAGTATATCTTGGTTAAGCATCATGGGAGATGCAGTTTAACCATGACTGAATTGCAAGATCTAGCAAAGTGTTTTCCACGTAGGGTGCACAGTCATAGATAGCACTCCTGCTTTTGTTGGACTACATTACCCATCATTTTCTGGCAGGACTCTGGGGAAATTTAGAACAATGACAATTTGAAGTCAACGCTGTTTACAACCGTTTTGTCAGTTTGTGATATGTACCTATGGCTACAAAATAAAAGGATGCGTTTTAAGGGAAAAAATCCTGCCTTTGCTATCCATGGAATTATAATGCAACATTCTATAGGTTATGGTATATAACTAACTAACCATTTTACCAGCACACACTGGCTCACCAATGATAATATCTATGACTATAGCTTAGATTAAATCTGTGTGTACATGCAGAAAGTCTAAGCCAGAACGAAATATGTACTAGGGTAAGTGTTACTCCTCACGGCAGTCCCCAAATAATCTCCAGCCCTGCATTCCTAACTTCCTATGAACCACTTTTAATGCTAACCTGGGGAGAAAACATGGTTCTTGAAATCAGTCATGCCTGAGCCTCATTACTCTTACTCTCTATGGAGTGTTTAGTGGAAAAAAAAACAACCCACATATGGCTTGCATACCCATAATGAAATTGTCCCTAGGAGACTGCTAGCCATGATGCAGTTCAAAGTGAACTTTATTAACACATTAAACATAATTACAAAGAGGAAATTCCAAGGAAGGTCATGGAGTATGGGTAGATTTTGGACGGGCCGACAATTTACATTATTGAGGGAGAATAGGTTTAGGAGTCTCTGAAGACTTAATAAGGTTTAATAAGTTAATAATAGGATAGTTAAAAATAACTATCAGTGGTACTTCTTTAGCTATGTACCAATCCAAACCGTAACACTTACTGTAGTTGATATGGCAAGTAGTTATCACATTTTCAACAACTGATGGGCACTGTG